ACACCAAGGGTTGCGATCCCGTTACTGGTCAGTAAAAAAGACAAAAAGGAAAAAAAAAATTCTTTTTCTAGCCTTTTGTATTCAAATTTTAGAGAGCTGCATTACTGTAGCCAAGGTCTGGACTGCAATGCACACCGGTCAGCTATTTCCCAGAGGGCTTGGCATGTAATGGCTGGAAAGTTACTCGCCCAGGTGCCAAGAGACAGGAATATTGCAGCTCCTCACCTACTGGTGAGGACTTAAAAGGCAGGTACAAGGTCTCTGGGAGTCTTTTTGGAGGTAGTCAAGTTGATTTTCCAAACACGCAATCTCAGCATTTTATTTTATTACTGCTGCCCTCTGGGTTTTTGGCAGGCTTCCCTAAAGGATGGCCACTTTTAATGTTCATTTACTGTGTTTACAAAGAAAAAAACGTTCTCTTTCCAGCATGGTTTTCTCTCACATATGGGGAATTTGTACTTACTTATTATGGTTTAAAAGTCTAACCAGGAGTTAGGAAGTATTTGGAAACTTTACAGCTTTCAGGATGAAAGTGGAGCTCTGTGGTATGACATCATTGCTGTTAATTACCCCTTTGCAAAAATCTGCCTGAATGGAGAAGAGGTGGGTGTGTCTATGTGGGTATTTAACATGATGATTAAAATATATTAATGATAGTTTTCACTTCTCTAGCATCGTACATCTAAGATCTTCTTTAAAAGTGCTTCCACAGGCTTTAATTAGGAAGAAATAAAACAGCTCCATTTTACAAAAGAGGAAAATGAAACGCTACGAGAAGGATCCTGTTGGGGGGAAGGATTTTGGAGGAATAAAGCTGCCTTCCCACAGCCCAGCAATGAGCTAAACCTTGCTCCTTCCCTTCAACCAAGAATTGACATCGGTAGGCTGTAAATGAAGAACATACATTTGTTCACATCTTCACGCTGTAGACATCTGAGCCCCAAATAACACATTTAGGGGTCCATAAGAAATTATTGCTTATTATAAGCCAACTCCTAAGGTTATCTAAACAAACAAAAAAGCAAACAAGAAAAGCAAAACAAGAAACCCTCAAGAATGGAATGGGCCATAAAACTCAGAAGTTCTGATTCTCAGTTTCCTCTTTAATTTAACCATTTTGAGTTCTGGGTTATGTATGGAACCGTTCCAGACTGAAGGTAGAAGGGACAATTGCTAATTATTCCCCTTTTTATAGGTCATTTTCACTTTCAGGAAGGAAATATAGGAAAGTTAATAGGAATGCATGGAAGGAAATGCAGAGAAAAACAGAAAATTCACTTTGTACCAAATATGTGAGGGGTCTTCAAAAACTTCATGGAAAGATTTTAATTATCTTTTAATTCCATTTTTCCACAAACTTTCTGAAGATACCCTCATATTTAGCTGTATATTTGAGAGGGGCCAAATGAGGGATGTACTCTTTAAAAGATTCTATGGAAATTTCAAGCATACACAGAAATGGAGAGACCCCATGTATTCATCACCCAGTTTCCAGTTAACAGCTTTCTGCTATTCTTGTTTCAATTCTCCCTTGCCACTTGTATTGTTGGAGGATTTTAAAGGAAATCCCATAAATATTCCTGTTCTTTTCCTAATGGATAAGAACTTTAGAAACAGAACCATAATACATTATCGCACACAACAGAAACCCAATTGTTTAATGTTATCTAACAATCAGTCTGTATTTTGTTTCTAGTGATTGTTTCAAAATTTTTTCAAAATTGTCCAAAAATTGCATGATTGATGTCTCTTAAGTCTCTTTTACTTAGGTCTCTTTTCCTCTCTTCTCCTCCATTCCATTAATTTGTTGGAAAAACTGGATCATTTGCCCTGTAGAACTTTCCAGTCTGTATTTAGCTGATTGTATCTTTGTTTGGTGTCTTTGAACATGCTTCTCCATTCCTCATATTTCTTTAAATGGTAGTTCGATCTGGAGGTTTGATTAGCTTCGGGGTTTTTTTGTTTTGTTTTGTTTTCAGCATGCATACTTCACTGATGGTGCTGTGTACTTTCTATCGAATCATATGACACCAGGAGGCACATAATGTCTCCTTGTGCCATTCCGGGGAAATGTTAAGGTGGATCGGCAGGATCCATGATGTCATTGCAACACTTTCTCACTCAATTACTTCTGCACTTATTAGCTGTGATTCTTTTATTAAAACAAACAAACAAACAAACAAAAAAAAAACTTGCCTCATCAACTCCTGTATTTGGTTACCCTGAAATACAGCCCATAAAGGAAAGGCAAGATAAATGCAGGATTCTTTTGTTAATTAGTTTTTCAGAATAATGCCCTTAGTAACCTTCTTCTAAGTATCATTATAAACTCAGGGGTTTCAAAAATATAGTTATTTTACTTGATGCGTTTCAATTCATTACAGTCACTATTATCTGGCCGGCGGAACCACTCAACTTTCCACCCACTTAAATATCTTTGATGGCTTGTTTTTTGAAATAATATGTTCCAGGATCGCGTTGTATTTTGCCTGCCCCTGACCTGGAAGCAGCCTTTTCTTCAAGGAGCTCTGATTCCTTTTACTGGGAAATAAAGAGAAACCGACATTGAATGCAATGAAAAGAGCGATGATTTCAGAAGAGGCTCCATGGAGGTGTATTTTTGGGCAGTGGGCAGCGTTTGTTGAATAGGATGGCAGGAAGGAACCCTGAGCCAACCCTTCATTTACAGGTGACAATCAGGGTATCACCCACCATCAGAGCTACACGATCAGGTCAGGAGGGCAGGGCACTGGGAGACCCTCCCCAGGGTGTGACCTTTGGCAAGTCAGGCCCCTGGCCTGGCATCCTTTCCAGCCGGACATTCTGTGGCTCCAGGTGAGTGACTAA